GGGGGGGGGGGCCGAACTGAAAGGACTCTAAGGATGATGTCATCAGAGTACTATGAATAAGGGTTAGGAGAGGAGGGGCTTCCAAAATTCACCAATCACAGTACAAAGAGTGGAGCAGCAAACTTGCAAGGATGTATATCTATATAGTTCTCTTTTTTTCTCCCTCTTTATATTTATTTATATATATATATAGATAGATATGTATACACATTTATTTATTTTTTCCTTCTACTTCTTCCTTTTCCTTCCTTTTTCTTGTTCTTATGTCTATTTTCTTATTTTTTCAACGCCCCCTCCCCCCTTCTCACCCTCCCCCCCCACGAAAGGAAAAAAAATCCTCTTGTGAGTGAGTTAGGCTGCTCACACACAAGAAGAGAAAGGCCTTGGCTCGATTTCATCTGCTTGATTTGAAGATGAAGGGTGAAGATTACATTTCAACTTCACTCCCACACTCTCCATCAATCTCTGCATGGTGTCGTGAAGATGTGCCCTATCTGTGGTATTTATAGAACGTAAGGGTGTTCAGGAAAGTTTAGGTGTGACGTCAATAGGCGATAAGATGAGAGAGAGTAAACTTAAGTGAGCTGGTCATGTGTGGCATTGACCCAGTAGAGCACCTGTTAGGAGGTGCGAGTTAGTTCAAGTGGAAGACTGCAAAGGGGAAAGGGTAGACCCAAAAGGACGTGGTTGGAAGTAGTCCAAAAAGATATGGGGACTTATGGACTCACTGACGGTATGGCCTTAAATAGAGCAAAATGGCAGACCAGGATTCATGTAGCCGACCCCAATTAATTGGAAAAAGGCTATGATGATGATGATGAAGGGGTGTTCAATGGAGGTCCTCCTGGTTAGCTGGGATGTGTGTTTGCTTACTTGTCCAGCCTTATTCATGACGCCTATTGGTATAGGGGCATGATGTTTGGCTCAAGTAGCATGAGGTCTATTCTGGCTGTCCAACAGTACAACCTTCGTCCCCCTAAATCTTTCCAAATGGGTTTCATCCTGGGCACCATTTGCCAACCGTCGTGACTATGTAAGCTATCCTTGTTGGGGTCATTACCTAGGGCAGGTGTATTATCATAGATCATCATTTTGTGCTCCTTCATGTGCTCCCCACAATGGTGCCAAGGCATACTCCAACATGGTTTCAGGCCCGTTCATGTCTGGGTCTGTCCATCTCGCCTGTTGGTACAAGGACATGATGTTTGCCTCAGGTCCAGTAATAGCCTCCACTAGCATGAAGTATGTTCTAGCTGTCCGGTAGTTCACCCTTCCTACGCTTATCTTTAGAATTGAGTTTCCTCCTAGGCACCATTTGCCAACCGTTGTATCTATGTAAGCTATCCCTGTTGTGGTCATTACCTAGGACAGGCCTAGTGCTATAGATCATCATTGTGTGCTCCTTTATGTGCTCCCTACGATGGTCTCGTGGCATACTCCAGCGTGGTTTCACGCCTGTTCTAGCAGGTTCTTCAACCATAATCCTTACAGAGAAGAGAATCCACATACTCTTGTGAGTTCACTCTCAACAACCTGCCACATCGATCGCCAATGCATGAGGACTATTATGTGCCATGAATTTATGAAGATCGCTTGGACCTAGATCCAGAGTCACTTTTTCTTGATTATGCCAGCCAGAGGATTCCAATGATTGAGTTTTAAGGTGTCCCCTTTGAATTCAGTTGTACAGCTTTGCAAACCATCCCTCAACAAAGCTTGGGTTGGGAATGAGAAGAGCCACTCAACCCCTTCTAAGTGTCTGCATACAAGTAGGTATGTCTTCCACAACTTTTTGCCCCACTACGTAATTTCTCACAGATCATGTCTAGGGGGATTCGAACTTGCCCAGCAGGGGGACTTGGTAGAGGGCTCTTTCTTTTGAAGTACTTCTTTCCAAATTGATGTACCTGGGGATATGAGATGAAAAAACCTTTTTGATTCAGGTGGCTGAGCTCAAGGTTAAGCACTAGGGGGTGATTGTCGTGTGATACCTCTCTCAGGTATGGTTAGGAGATTGAGTAGCTCTGGCTTGGGTTAGGCTTTGAGTTCTTCCAGGCAACTGGATGGGGGTGTCAACCAAGATGGCGATGGTTTTGGCATAAAGAGGTAAGGGGAAACGGGCAAGTGGGTTGGTGGTTATAACTAAAGGATTTTTTCAAACTTAATTGTTTTCATTAGTAAATAGTTGAGTAAGCAGCGTAGAGGTTGGAAAGACACCACCCTCTCTCCAGTGAATTGATTGTTATGTTCTACAGGCTCGATCAATAGATTTTGTTCCTGTGAACTTGCAGAAGAGCAGTGCTATTGGCATGTACATGCTATTCTAATGGACATTTTCCTTCAAGCCAATGTGATGACACATGGCTTTGTGCCAAAATCTATTTGAATTTTTATACATTCCAATCAAGCTCAGTATAAGAGCTACTATGCGTGTACAAAATTGATCTTAGGAGAGCAGCATGTCATGGACCTAGTGAAGCCCCGTGCTTCAACTATGCGGCACTCGTACCTCAGTCCGTCGAGGACGAGTCAGCCTTTCCAACCATGAGCACAAGTATGTACCAACCAAACGCGATAGGATAGCCACCACTAGTGCGCATCACCCACACAGTAGCAAAACCAACACGCACACACAATAGGCACTGACATAGGAGAGGGGGACACACGTGAATTGAATAAGAAGAGGCTTTATTCCACAAGAATGCTCAAATACTTACAAGCTTCTGAGGTGCTTTACAAATGAGGGGTCCTCCCCCTTTTATAGGCACTAGGCCTTATACCCAACGGTTAGGATTGATACACGTCCCAGATCCAATGGCTAGGAACCTTCTAGCCCATACAACTTCTAGACAATTCCATCCAGCCCAGCCCTTAGGATAGATCTAGAAACCTCTAGATCCTCCATGATCGCACTAGAGTTCTCTAGAATGTTCCGTATCCAAGTGATAAAACAAAATGGGTGTATAGTACCTAACGTACAACACGTCGATGGAGCAATGCATGGCATTCTTTTGGGGTGTAAGAAGCAGCATAAATAGCCACGGGAAATATGATGCAAAGTTAACCCATACACTTTCATAAGCAGTAATGTACAAGAGGAAAACTGAACCTCGAGAACATTTGCATATTTCAGAGTAATAAACATCTCTGAGAGATAATCATAACATGACACAAAACATTCAAGCCAAATTTTAATATTTATGGCCAACTACAACAAATTTGCGTACTGTTTGAAACATGTACCAAATAATTAAGTAAAATCCAGCTTCATTTAGATGTTCATAATCGAAATCAGTTCCATGCCAGCAATAAAAGCTTCTGATGATGCTATACAAGCCACAAATTTAGAACGTCAATATCATAAAAAAAACAAATTGCATGGACTTGTGTGGCAGCTTTCGCGTTTTGGAGAAAACTTGCTTTACGAATATTGATCATGACCGCAATTATCTACTTAAAAAGAGATACAAGAACAGTGTAATGGGAAATAGAATTTCCAAAGTTGCAAATTTTACACCACACAAATTGGTCATTTCCTCGATTATAATTACAGTTCAAAACAAAAAATTCAGAAATTCGCATTAAAGTCATGTTTGTTATAAACTTCCATCATTTATATGTAGGTTCGGTAAATGAAAGGAATTCACAATGAAGAAAAACTCAAATACTGCATATTTATGTTTCATATCGTAGTGACTGTTATGGGCCCCACGCCCATTAAAGAAACCTGCAATAATTATTATGGGCCTTATGTCCATTATAAAAATGGAGAGTCATTTAACAGTAATGCAATTCTTGCTGTAGCAATCATGTAGCACTCATGCATTTCTTGCTGCAACAGTCTTGCATAAGGCCTATAATAACTATTCCAGGTTTCTTTAATCGGCGTGGGGCCAATAACAGTCACTACACATATAAATGTAACATGATCTGAATCCACTTGAGATGTGCAAGATTAACAAATATTCACACAGACACTAAGAAAATTATAAAAACAACAAAGAAATTACCAAATAGTAAGACACTAAGAAACAATATGAAATAGCATGTACGAAGTTAAAGAGAAGCTTATCTATTTCTCAATACTGAAAAAGGAAAAGTCTTGGAGTAGAAACAGACCATCCACGAGTTTGATCAAGTCCCTCAGCCACAAACTGTCCAGGGAAATTGTTTTCAAAGAGTTCGGCATTCTCGAAAGGATAGTGGATATAACCATAAGGCATGGAACCACTTTCAAACCAGCAATCAAAAACCTGAATATAAGCAGCAGACAATGTCACTTGCAACAACAATAGGTAAGATATTAGGAAGCATGGCAGCAAGAAGAACTTTTGGAACATACATAGAGAGAGCGAGAGAGATTGCATATGTACATAGAGAAAGAGAGAGAGAGATTTCCAGAATAAAAAAGATACAGTATATTCCACAGTCCTGCCGGAACAATACATTAAACAATAAAAGCTGAAAAACATCAATAACTACAGTGTTTCCACTTCATATAACTCACATCATCAACACGTCGAAGAACACCAAATTCTGGGCCACGCTTAGATGGGATAGTTATATGGTCAATATTGTGCCGATGCAGATCAGTTACCTGTAAGCCAGAGTCCAATGCCAGGCCACATTCAAGTAGTATGACAAAAACAAAGGCGTTCAATGGAAAGAAGAAAAAAACAAAAAAAAAATTACACATCAAGGATGGATAGCGCATGTCATGAAGCAGAATTACTTTGTATGACTAAGTAGTCCATGTCTAGGTCAACACATTAACCTGATTGGTGTTGTATAAGATATTGCAAAATTTACCCTCCAATTTTCAATATATAATGAAAAGTAACTATGTATCATGAAAAGTAACTATAATGAAAAGTAACTATGTATCATTTGCAACATCAAGTTCAAAGACAATACAGGAAAATGCAAACAAAAAAAGAACGCAAAAAAGGAAATTCAAATGGCAAACCTTGAGACCAGACAGATCCTCAAGCTTCTTTACAGAATCAATAACCAGTTTTTCTTCCCCATCCTCACTTATCCATATCGGAAGAGGAGTTCCCCAAAATCTACTTCGGCTTATAGCCCAGTCCCTTGCATTTTCAAGCCAATTGTGGAAACGCTTATCCTGTAAACATGAATAGGTGAAGAAAGAAAATCAATAATCATGCGACATAAATAGTGACATAAAAGACTAATCAGATAAGAACACACATAGAATCAGAGAAATAAATGCCTATAAGATTATGCCTGCAAGTCCACAATGCTCAAGGCCATATTCAGTGAGAATCATTTTTCTTTTCTTTACTTTTTCCTTTTTTTTGTGAAAAGAGTGACGATTTCTATTCATAATAAGAAGTCTTGCAAAAAACCCACGAGTTGTGGGTATGGGCAGCCCACAGATCAGGTACTCTTACATGTATTCATAGTAAAACTAAAAAAATCAAAAGGAGTAAAGGAGGGGGAGAGAAAGCAGAGTGGTCTGTGAAAGAAGGGTTTGAGTGAGAGAGAGTAGAAAGGGGCTTTAGGGGAGAGAAGAAAAGGGATGTATAGGAAGAAAAAAGTGATGCAAAAGGAAGGGATTAAGGAAAGAGATGGGAAGAAGGGAGATCTTTAGAGAGAAAAAATGATAGAGAAGAGAGACAAGAAAAGCAGAAGAGGGGGTGGGGAAAGATAGATAGAGAGAGGAAGGTTGGGAGGGGAGAAAGAAGTAGAGAGATGGGTAGAGAGAATTTCAGGTGGGCGCCCACAAGTTGGTGCTCCGCAGGAAGTGCAGATGAAGAGGAGAAGAAAAACAAGAAAAGAGAGATAGGGAGAGAAGAAGAGAGGGAGAGGAAAGAACGAATCATAGAAAGACAGAAGAGGGGGGAAGACGAAGAAAGATGAAAAGCATTAGAGGAAAAAAGGGTTTTTGTCATCATTGCTGCACTTAGACTGAAGTGGACTGGGGACCGTGCTTTGTTAGCATATCTGCTTATGCGTTCTTCTACTGCCAGGTATGTTGGAAGTCGAGTTGCAGTGAACAGCAAAGGAAAGCAACATGGTCAAATATGTGGGCTCGCTGCCTAGGGCGATCACTAGAGTTTGAAGCCCATGTAATGGCATTTCGAGAATCCGCCCCTATGATCAAAGGACTCCTCCATCTAGGATCGAATCTCTTGAGAGCCTCGAGCAACGTGATAGCTCCAGCCTAATGGAAATCTCCATAGTCAATATGAATGGAAAAAAAAAAAGAAGTGCTTCCATTGGAGTCCTTAAAAATTCCCTCGACCCCACTCAAACCAGGGCCTCCTAAGGAGAAACCATCAATGTTGACTCTCTTGGTGCCCCGAGCACGGGTGGTCCAAGAGTTGGAGCGTGAGGTTTTGGTTTTCTTGGACTTCACAACGTCAAGCCAGTTGGTCGCAAAGTCCAACCTTGTGAAACCTTTTAGTAGTTTACAGCTGCTAGCCCAGAAGATACTAGATGACCGTGTTCTCTCTGTTGTTGTTCTCGCAATATTCTTGGCTTTAAGGTAGATTCGAGAATCAAGCTCCTTCCAAATCGACCATAACATAGCTTAGATGGAAGCTCCCCATAGAAATAGACCCGCTAAGGAGAAAGGTGAAGAGAAGCAGGCCGAGAACATAGTACCTATTGTCGATTGTCGGTGGAATGGCCACGAGTAATTTTGTTTTTGATATTGTTAACATTGTATAGATGGAATAGGGATTACAAAGGATGGCAACTACAGGGCAAGACAAAAGTCACCGAGAATGGTGACGACTTGAAGCAACCAGCCAAAGAAAAGAGAAAAAGAAGAAGGGGCTACACGAGCCCTACAGGGAGGATCAAAAAAGGCCAAGAAAAAGAGGAGAGAAAAAGAAAAAAGGAAATAAGTAGCTATAGATCCACTATCCTGTAGGTAGAGAGCAGACGGCTCCCTACTTGGCTAGCTTATCCATGACGTGGCTGGCCTCCCTCCAAATATGCGTCCATGAGACAAGAATACACCTGCAAAGGTGGAGAATCTCGTCAAATAAAGCCCAGAGTCTCCACGGAGGTGTGGAGGTGCTAGACTCCCAAGAAATGACGTTCTGTGAGTCCCAATCTACAATAAGAGAATGACCCCACGATGGGTCGAAGCGTCTAACTCCTTCGAGAAGGGCTCCGGTTTACGCCTCAAAAGAGTCAGCGACCCCTATAGGAAGAGAGTAGGTCGGAAAGGTGATAGCGTCAGAGTTCCTGAAAATCCCTCCAATATTAGCCGGGCCAGGATTTCCTAAGGAAGAACCATCAAAGTTAAGTTTGATGGTGCCCCTCTCGGGTCGAGCGAGATACTCTCTTCAATTTATGGATGAGGATATTGACCCAGCTGGATATAAAGTCGACCGTCGGTATGTGTCTAAAGTGTTCGTTGTTGGTGGCCCAAAAAACGACAAAGCCTTTAATGGAGTCCTTGATATTGTTAAGGGGGGATGCGGCACCCTGGAAGATCATGTTGCTTCGTTCCTTCCAGATGACCCAAAGGATTACAGCTACTGTGGCCTTCCAAAGTAGGGCCCCCGACCTAGGCCAAGGAAGGAAGGATGAAAGTATGAATAGATGCGTGACGCTCTCTGGAGTTACCCATTCCCACTGGAACCAATGAAGAATATGTGCCCAAATAGAAGCTGCGAAGGGGCAATGAATGAACAGATGGTCGATGGTCGATGGTCTCCTCTGCCCCTAGGCACATCCCACATCGGTTCGGTAGAGGGATACCCATCGCCTGGATTTGGTCGATGGTGAGAATCCTGCCCCACAGAGTTAGCCAGTTGAAGAACTTAATTCTTGGGGGGAACAGAGTGTTCCAAGCTTTAGGAATTGAGTAGTGGCAGACTACTATCCTCGAAGAGGATCTAGACAAAGCATGAAATAAGGAATTCACGGAGAAAACCCTCGAGGGAGAAGGTGATCAAAGGATACGATCCTCCCCTCTAGGTAGTGAGGAGGAGGAGGCAATCAGTGATGAGAGCTCCAAGAAAGCCTGCACCTTGGAGTCACAGAGAGGTCGATGGAGGTCAGGATTCCAGACTCTTGGCGAGGAGTCGAGTGGAAGGAGGGATCGAACTGATGCGGATAGTTCTTTGGTTAGGCGAAAAATGCCAGGGAACAAGAAAGATAGATCAGAGCTCCCAATCCAATGATCGAGCCAAATGCGAACCTTGGAGCCATCTCTGGGATAAAAGCGTACAAAGGACTAGAAAAGGGGGAGAGAGTGTAAGACTGATTTCCAAAATCCCGAGGTTCTCTAAAACCTGTGGTCACAAATACATCACGGTGAGGAGGAAAGCCGATATTGATGAGTCACGACATTATGCCACTATTGTCCTCTTTGGGTCGCTAGTCTCCACCACCATTTGCAGCGAAGAGCCAAGTTGGCAAATTTGAGGTTGCGAATACCTAGACCACCCTCGGCTTTTGGGCGGCACACATGCTTCCAAGCCAAAAGATGAAACTTTTTGGTTGGGTCGTCCCTGACCAAAGAAAAGTTCTCATCAGTTGCTCGAGTCGCTGTCGGACTGAGGCCGGCAAGTGAAACAGGGACATTTGGTAGACCGGAATCCCTAATAAGACAGCTTTGATAAGGGTTGTGCAACCTACAAGTGATATAAATCTTCTTTTCCAGGAAGCCAGTTTTCTTTCGACCTTGTCGATTACGTGGCTCCACTGAGCTTTCCTAGGTTTACTGAAGCATAATGGTAGCCCCAAGTAACTGGAAGGGAGGGACTCCGTGCCGCAACCCCAATAGTCGGCAAGGGTTTGAAGAGTTGTCGGCTTAACATACTGCCCCATCATCTTGGATTTGTGAAGGTTGACTTTGAACCCAATGGCAAAGTGCAAACAATGAAAGAAAAGGAGAATGTTGTTTACTTGGACCGAGGAAGGCTTGTAGAAGAGGAAAGTATCATCAGCGTACTGCAGGTGGGAGACTACGAGTCCCTGGTTGCCTATGCTGAAGCCAGAGGACCACCCGGCCAGATAGAGCCTATCCAGCGACCTACTAAACACCTCCGCAGCTATCGCAAAGAGGAATGGGGAAAGAGAGTTGCCCTGTCTGAGGCCCCTATTGGACTAGAATAAGCTCTGGGGAGAACCATTAATAAGGATAGAGAAAAATGGCTTTCTATACAAGCCCAAATCCATTTTCTCCATCGAGCCCCAAAGCCTATTTCTCTTTTGCTCTCGTCGAGAAGGTCCCAATAGACATGAACGTAGGCCTTTTCCCAATCTAGTTTGATGATGAGACCTGGACTTTTGGAGATCTCCTTTGAGTGGATACACTCATGGGCTATCAAGGCACCACCTAGAATTTGTCATCCTTTTACAAACGCACTTTGGTTGGGTGAGGTGATGGAGCTCAAGACTTTGCTTACGACTGGTTGCTAGTACCTTTGCCAGAATTTTATAAGAACTATTGATGAGGCTGATGGGTCTAAAGTCTTTAAGTTCTACTGCTCCTTCTATCTTGGGTATGAGGGCAATGAAAGTGGCAGTCATGGCCCTATGGATGATCCAACTTTCGAAGAATTGGGAGAAGAAGGCAAGGAAGTCTATACGAAAGACATCCCAATACCAGTTGAAGATGGCTACTAGGAAACCATCGAACCCAGAGGCCCGGTCTTGTCCTAGGTCTTTGATACCTCGGAGAATCTCAGTTTCACGGAACAGTCTTTCGAGCCAGTTTGCTTGGGATGGAGTTAAGGTCATGAAAGAAAGGTCGTCCATAATAAGTGAAGGAGAATGAGGAGCTCTGAAAAAATCTTTAAAGCAATCAACAAAAGCACTGGTTATGGAGGGGGAACCTTCGATTAGGATACCTTGATGCAAAATAAGGGAGATGGAATTCTCCCTTTTTCGGTAGCTTGCTATTTTATGGAAGTAGGTAGTGTTCTAGTCCCCGCACTTGAGCCATTTGACTCGTGATCGTTGGGCCCAGAAGATTTCTTCTCTCCAAAGGATAGACTAAAGGTCAGCCTTGAGTTGAAGGCACAAGGTGGACTCCAAGAGGGTGAGAGGACGGGAATCCTCAATGAGCTCGAGAGCCCATATGGATTCACGGATGGAGGCTTTTAGGTCATAAAAGTTTCTTGGCAAGCTACTTCG